CCCCACAGCGTCCCACCCTCTATTACTACTGTCGCTCCTGCATTCCCCACCAGCTAGTAGCCCGCAGGCGACCACTGTCCAGTGGGCACCGGCTTGGAAGACAGCCGCAGTGTCTGCACACAGCAGGATCAGATTCAGAATCTAGAGACTTCAAGTAGCACGACAAATATGCCGCGCAAATGTCAGTTCCACATTGCTCGTGAAGTATCTCTGTGGAGCGTAGTATGCATCACGTGGCGTTGGAAAGTCAAGAAACAGCATTGTTTCAGAAATCATCTGCGCAAGGCCTGTTTACATATAAAGTCTTATAACACAATCAGTGCAGTTTGGGCAGCTGGCACAATAGCCTTCACCAAAATAGCCTTCACCAAAATCTCTGTCTGTGGCTTGATTCTTAATTTTATTTAACCCTGAAGATATCGGTTTGCGCGACATGACGGCTCTGGGGGCTCAGCAAGCTTCAAGACATGCAGAAGGCATCTTGACTTCTCTTGTTCACAATCGCTGACAAATCCTGAAATTGAATCCTGAGCCACTCTCTTCAGCATCGCGCGTTTGTACACTCACTCTGCCTTCAGTCTCGCTACGGCCAGCCTGCGAACATCCTTTTACAGAAGAAAGCGCCTGCGCAACTTAGGAGCTTGCCCGGAGGGATATTTCTGCCCCATACCAGCAGCAGATGTTGCTCGGCGATATCAGGTGGCGTGAACTTGGGAACTGAGCGGGTAACCCCGGCGGGGCATCAGTATGCCAGATTTGCTGGGTGATGCATGACTCGTCACACCGCGCAGTAGACATCCATTGAAGCTCTCTCCAGTGATCCAGAGTCCACCTTTAAATGTCACCTGTTCGATTCAGCTCCTGTAATTGCAGCATTCTCGACATGCAGCTGTTCCTGACAATCGCTGGCTAAGGTAAGGCCTTGTCCAGCAGGTGGAAACTGCCCGAGGGGTGCGCAACAGCCACAGGCCATCAAGACTCATTTGCTGCAATGGGGCTTCAATGGGTTCAATCTTCGCTTGAGGCCTGCGCGGCTGGACGTTTCTGCCCACCTGGCGAGGATCTTGAGTGCCCCAAGGCCAAGGGCAGAACAATCACCGGAAGGGGGCTGCTGTGGGACATGGCGGCGACACTGAATTTATTCATTCCAATTCTCAGAGGACTGCTATATCTCAAAGAGTTCCATGCTGCGCGAATTACTCGGGAGCACATGTGCCGCCCGCAAAGCATGTATGAAGATGCGAGACCAGAGCTTTGACAGCTTCAAGCCTTTCTTGCGCGAAAAACTCCCATCAGGGCCACTACTGCCCCTTCGGCACCGAACATCCGAAGCACTGCAAGCCTCTCTTCAGTTGTGTGGGCCTGAGTACAGGCTGTTGCAAGGGCGACAGATTGAGGGGATCGGGGGCCCTGGATCCCCAAGGTGACAGGGCAGTAAATCAGATGGAGTCAACGGCTTCTCAACTCTGAGTGCAATGCATTAAGCTAGGAACTTTGAAAAAAGCTTGAGCATGCCCAGGATTTTGTGGCATGTTTGTACACGTCGCGTTGGGATGAAGACTGAAGACTCTGGTCAGTGAATCAGGTCCTCCAGGCAGCAAGGCTCAAAATCCATGGTTCTTCGCTCTGTTGATCCTGGTGGTGGTTGCCTCAGCTATCGTGCAGACTTTCAGCAGGATTGTCTTTCTCCCTTGCTGTTCATGTGCTGCTTGGCGGATGCACCCAAACTCAGTCAAGCCTTCAAAAAGGCTTGTTGTTCTAGGCTTGCTCTGCGTGTGAGACCTGTGACGCTGCGAAAGAACAAGTTAAGATAACTTTGCTGGCAAGGCTGTGGCCGGTGTGGCTTCCTTGGGCACCATGCTTTACACGCAGATGGTGCAGAACGACTTGTGGGCCTGCGTCATGGGCTTGGCAGAGCACTTCAGGAAGTCTTTTGCCACAAGAGCGCTGAGAGAAGCGCTAGAGCAGTGGTGTCAATCAGCTGCAGGCCGTTTGTGCAGCCTGCGCTGGGCTAATGTGGCTCGTCGACGAGGAATCCTTCCATGCTGTGAGATGTGCACAGGCATTTGTGGACCTTTCTCGTTCCTTTCTGTGTTTAACAGGCCATCGCTCTCTTCCTGTCCCTCACCTTCGTCTCAGTGGCGGCCAATTGGGCCCTGCTGCGGATCGGAGCTGTGGACCCTACTGTGCATGCCTCAGACGATGTTGGCTTACTGTTTAGCGTGCCCTGAAGATGTGCAAAAAGGGAGCAGCCTGCTTGTGAGCCGTGATAACCCCTTTCTGGCGCAGACAGCGAGGTTGCGCAAAGCCTGCTGCTGTGCACGGCCGGTGTGGCAGTGGCACTGCTTTGGCTGGTGCCCTCCAGCCTATCACCTTCAGCTACTCTGTTACTTCCCTATGACTATGGACTGCCGCAAGAGCTGTGAGAGCTCCAAATAATGCCAGATACCTTATAGTGTTATTTGCTGCTAGCACAAGGATTAGTGGTTTGTAGCTTTGACAGGCATCGTAAATTTTGCGCCGTTAAGTGAGACAGCTCGAGGTCCAGTGAACTGTCAAAGTAGATTACCAAGCTCAAACACCTATGCTTATTATGTTCATCGCGGGATATTAAAGGCATCACTGCATTCGAAGGCCTTTTCCCATGAGCTTCCACCCCAAACTAGTAATCGTCAGAGACAATGCCGTGACATCTTCATTGCAGGTACATCCGCCGTACAGCTGGCGCTTTTTCTGAGCAGCCACAAATTTCACGTGGTGTCCCTGTGTGCTGTCAAGACTCACACGGAAGCAAGATGATGTGGTAGAAGCTCTATCGTTTTGGATTAGAGGGCCGCGCTTTCTGCAGCCAGGTGGGCAGCCTTCTTTGCTGGACTTCTGATGTGCTGCGCCATATGCTACCTCATGTCGCGACAGGCAACATATTGCCACTGCTTCTCACTGCACATGTTTTGAGCTTTTGTCATCCTACTTAGTTTGCTCCTAATGAAAGTGCTTCTTTGTCATCATCTATCTAGATGAGCTACTGGAAGTTTAGACTATAGCTCAGATAGCTTCGACACAACAGCCGCATACCAACCTTCGCAGAACTACGCTGCTGTCCTGGTGGGTCGCTTTCTCCTGCGCGGGGCTTGGCTTCCATCCGTGAAGCTAGGTTTCTTCCCCGAGGGTTCAATGTGTCTGCCGCGCTGTCAGTTTGCTGTCCCATATACCTCCAACAGATACCCTATTGTAATGTCGTAGTTGCCATTTTCTTTTCCATTATCCCAATATGAACCCTATATTACCCTATCTTATCCCAACATTAATTACCCTACCCTCCCCCCCTTACGTGCAAGCGAGGCTTGTAGCATTTGGAGTGCTCATCTTCAGCTATTCCCAGGCAGGAGCCTTACCATCCTGCTACGCTTCCGACAGTCTTCAGGATAGCTGTCTTGACATTCAAACCCTAGCAAGCCAACAGGGCAACAAGCAGAATCTGTACAGCCAGCTTCCGCGCATCATTTGCTGACGCTGCTCTGCATTCTTACATTGCGTGTACCGTTTGGCCACTGAAGTCACCGCGATGGGCCCACTGGTCACCAGCTGATGGCTTGCTGTAGGCGTTGCTTGAGTCCAAGGAACATAACGAACAGATGACACACGCAGCCCGAATTTTGAGAATGCCAAACATGATCAGCGGTCGGCATGGACCCGTGAAGCAGAAAAGCCAGCAAGCGAGGCATCCCCAAGCATCCCGTTTCGTGTTCGGGGGTGTTCCCCGTATTGCTCTCGGGATCTCTCGGGGTGATATAGTGACTTGTGCTGAGCGTCGCCTGGGGCAATCTTGTTCTGCGGGCACAAACTATGCGGTTGGTAGCTAGATCCTATCATCGGACTTCTGTTGTTTTCCTTAGAGGCATGCAGCCACTGGGAGGGCCACTGCTCCCAAAGTCTTCTGTCTGAAAAGTCCCCTAATTACCTGTAGCATAGAGAATTCGACCTCCTCAGGCCCAGCCATAACTACTTAGCTTCAAGCGGTGATAGATCCCCTCACCACCTCCTACCGCAAGCATCCGCAAGCCCATCTGCAGCTGAGGTAGACCCACAATTCACCATCGCCTTGGGCGTGGTGCTGCTCCTCCAGATCTTGGGAATTCTCGTCTCATGGGTATCTCCCCAGTTGCCCACCCTTCGCAGCAGACTGTCAGGGTATGTTAGGATAGGGAGGCTAGGGCTGCAGTAGCTCTGGAAGAGGACTAGAAGAAGTCTCAGGAATCAAGGCATGGCCAGGGGTTAACCTTTGACATTGGTACAGAGATGCCCACGTACAAACTACGGTACTTCCCTGCAAACACTCCCGAATCTTGTCCTGAATGGCCTGCTATCGCAATACAGCTGCCTGCATCAAGTTCATATTCCCTTTTCTCATCCATGGCACCCTTGTGTATGTTGCGGTGCATCAGCTTTGTCCCTATGGGTTGTTGGTCAACATAAGCAGCCAATGAGACATGTAAGCTCCCGTGAATTAGCTTAGCATTAGCCAAAAGCCCCATGGCAGCATGCCATGAAACACTGCAGTATTATTGGGGCTTAGTACGGAAAATATTCAGTCGGGATTGTATAGGGATTATCTTCCCTTACCTCCTGCTAACTACCATTCCTAGCACATTCTGAACAGAAAACAAAGACACACACACACACAAGCTTCCAGACCCTATAGGTTCCAGTTCCTACTAAGTCCATGGTCCTTGACTCGGAACCGGGGTCATGAAAGTCCTTGTTCTATAGTCCGCGTGTAGTCCGCATATGATCGGCTTCCCGCTGATGACTGGCTCGGCCGGGGACTGAAAACTCAGCTTGGGAGCAATCTGAGCTTGCATCTTGGTATGGTTTGCACTTGCTATGTAATCCTGAGTGCAGCATGCGGTATCGGGCGACGTTATTGGTTTTGGGGTGGTTCAGGCTGGGCACAGGTGTGTTGAATGGCTGGCTTGCCGGAGCACACACACACACACACACCTTGTTCACACTGCTTGCACACCGCAAGTCTGTCTGTTACAGTCTAACATACTCTTGTCCATTGCCCCTGTACTGCTGCTGGCTTGTGCAGCATCGCCGTCAGAAAGGAACCTTGCTCATGATGCCTGACCTCATTGAGGCTCTAAAAAAAGCTCTCTCCAGACGGGGGCCGGTAACGGGGTTGAACTCAAATGTAGAAACCCGAAATAGCACGTTCTCCTGTCGTTTGCTTTGGATAAGCATTGAGGCATGACTCAAGTATGGATGAACCAGCGCTTCCTCCGCTTGGGCCCTGCAGACTTCGACACTGGCGTCTGGCTCTCAGCTTTGGGGAGCTGATGAGATATGCGGGTTCCCCGCATCATCTTTGAGTACTTCAGTCCACAGGCAGAGTACCCGAATCTTACGCATTTGTTCAATGCAAAGGTGCACTTCGTAAGCGTGGCCAACATCAGCCCTCTGGCAGATGTCCAAAGCATGTGGACAGCCATGGCTAAGGTAAGGCCTTGCGATTGCTCACACTGATGGGTGGTTCGCAGCATCATCGATGTTTGTCTGGATGTCAGGGCCAAGACCCCAACAGCATCATCCCAGCGCTTAAGGACGAAAGAGTTTCTTGCTGGACATTCAGCTGTTCAGCCTTCTGTTCTTTGCGGAAAGCAGAGTGAGTAGACCTCTTGCGGAGGGCAGGAGGGCCATCTTCATCTTTGCCAGCCCAAGCGACCAAGCGCAGGCCAATGGCTGGTGTAGTCAGGGTTTGTCTTTGGGTTTGTGGGCATGTCTTAGGCACCGAGCAAAAGAATGTTGTGGCGTGTTGGAAAAACAGCTGCCGCGCTTTCACAGGTGGCCGCGCTTCGTGACTTCGTCCAGGCGCAGACCCTGTGGATACCCCAAAGTAAATCTAGCTAGGATATGCCCACAGCTGTACTTGACACAATCACTGTACAAGCTGAGTCAGTGGGCTATGGAGAGCCGGTATTAACTGGTCATGACCTAGCATAAGCCGCAGCACCAAGGCGGAAGTGTGAATCTCAGGGAGCTTCAAACCTGCAGCTGACTTTTTCGAATTCGGCGTGATCCAATTCGCCGCAGGCAATGGACGCGGGGGGCAGTGATGCGGCGCCAATGCCAGAGTTCTCAGATGCAGCTTTAGGGCAGATTAATTTGAAGTCATCACTTGTGATTTAGTTTGTAGCATGTGGTTCCAACTTAATCTTGTGGTTCAGGATTTGGGCTCCGCACACCGTCACCCCGGAGGCAGCGCGAACATGCTGCGCTGCGCTTGCCAGCTGTATCCTGTCGCGGTACGGCCCAATTCTGCGAATCTTCCCTGACTTGCTAATGTTAACCTGTCCAAGCCAGATGACAGCAGATGTAGATCCCGCCTTGCGGCAGATTCGGCCCCACAACGCTGTTGTGGATCCCATATCGAACGATGGGCGCGATGTGGTCAGCAACCGGTCTGAACATGGCCAAATTCAAGCCAGAGTTGATGCACCTGAGGCTGTGGCCACTGATCATTCTGCTATGATATGAGCACATATGGGCACTGCAGCTAAGGCGATCTGATGGCTAGAGCCTCAGTGGTCCGATGACTTGGCAATGTCTGCGGGTTTGAGGGCGAGTATCCTCAGGAGATGGGCCTTGATGGCATCATCTCAGGAGAGTACGGTCCTGAGCCCTGAGCAACCTATGGGATGACAGGTTTTTAAGTCATGGTCCAACCAGCTTGGGATGAATTTTGTTGAGTGATGACCTTGTCTGTGTACTGCGCTCTTCAACCTAGAGATGAAATGTGTGAAGGCCTAAACACTTCAAGTCATTGTCTGTATATTGAGCTCTTTGTCCCGGGGGCAGCTTGATGAGTCTTGCAGCAGAAGACGTTTTCGTATTCTGTAATTAGACCCTAAGCCCTCTAAATCCTGAACGCCAATATTCTGTGGGTTTGTAGGGAATGAGGGAATACTCTGTAGAGGGATTATTTCGGGATTACATTCCCGTACTCCCTACTAAAGGCAAGCAAGCTATACCCTAAACCCAAACGTGCGGAGGCCGCAAGGTCCGGCTTTGGCATTGACGATACGGATGTGGGCCCGATGCTTAATTCAGATGGTAGCCTCCACATAAACACCTGAACCCCAATATAACCTCCAAAATATTACAATCATCTGCAACCCCTTCTATGGCGACCCTCAAGAGGTACCCGTAATTTTGGGAAACCCCAGGTGTTGTATGTTGTACGTGCGCAATTCATCTCATGCCCTAGTCTTGGATCAAAGAAGCTTTTTCGGATTAGCTGTGACTAGTTGCTTGCTGGCATCTCTACACTAGGGCTTCCTCGATTTAGCAGAAGTTATGAGATCGGTGTACGGCGGAGTTAGAAGATTTGCACACTTCTTTTTGAGGTGCACAAGCTTGAGATTGCAGCGCAAACCCTGTCAGGGCCCCGGAATCTGCACATCGTAGGCTTTGAGCAAATTTTGCAGAGCACGGCTGCTTGTTGAGGACGGAGGTTCTGTACGAGAGGAAGCGCCGGGCCCAAAATGTGGAGTATTTCAAGGCCGCAGACGTCACCTGCATCTGCAGCAGATGGAGGGCTGCATTCACTTGATTTTGATTTTGGCACTGGCTACACCATAAACATGTGTAAAGAGTGGATTAGACTCTCACCAAAAGACTTAAAGCCTTCTGGTCAGTGGTCCTGGAGCCTAGCACACACTCTCAGCAAGGCTAAAAAGCGCAGCCAAGTATGCAAAACTCCGACAGCTGATTGAAATAGAGGACCACATGCTGAACGGCAGCCAAGTTGCCAGGCGCACACGGACAGTCTTTTGTGGGACTACCTCCGGAATAGGCCTGGCCCTTGCATCCAATGATGCCAGGCTGTCTGCACTATTCACGTGAAAAGTCCCACAAGGTAAAATCAGGTGCTGGATGGATGCAGCATGTCGACGCACTCAGGCTGGCGCCAGTTGTCCCACCTTGTGATAGACATCTTCCAGAAGGCTTGGTGTTCTGCAGTTCTACATAGTTCTGCCACCTCTTTGCCAAGCTACAGTCTGAGCTTAATTGTGTGCATTACCTCTTTTCCTCAGTCCCTCAGGCTGGTCCCGTCCATACTGCAAAGCTTGCTCAAGAAGCGTAATTAGCCGATGTCCTTGTTGGAAGCCCGTCCAGCGGAGCCGGCAAGCTTGCCAAAGTGTACGATACGTAGTTCTGAAAAGGCCTCCCCAGCTATCCCCAGCTCTCCTGTCATTCCACAGGAATCCCGAACCAGATTGATGGGTGGTCCTTCGGTGCGCGGCCACAACTTGTCTGCAGATGTCTGTTGCAGCTTCGTTTCATACTCATGCCATAAGATCTGGCGGAGCAGAAGCTTGGGTGGTGCAGTGCTTCGGACAGGGGTTTGGCAGGAGGCTGACGAGGCAGAAGCCCAGGCTTCAGACTTTGTTTGCGCCAGGCAGCTCCCGCAGAACCCCTAGTGGCGTGGACTTGGCCTGAGCATGGGGAGTTTTGCAAAAAAAGAAGGGTCCTTTCCTGAGGAATCCCTGTGTTTCCTAATCAGTGTCTTGCAATGCTGAGGTATATCGTTTGAACCGCCGGCGCCAAGATGGCCCTGGCCTTGTAGGCAGGACCAGTTTCAACAAGACATACGTGTTCCCCACTTGGCGTCAGCATGCGACAAGCTGCAATATAGGTGACTATAGTTTGAACTAGGATCCAGGGGTATCTTCATATGGAGCCAGGTGCACAGTTTCGTCAGGAACCGCCAAGCCTGAAAGTCAAAGCAGTTAAGCTGCACTAGCCGCAGAGCAGTCGGGGAAAATATGAAGGCGACGGTCCCTTGCAAATTCTGGGGTACAAAGCTACGAGGGGAGGCCCAAGCGTTGGTCAGTTTGTCCTCTCATGAGGATGGACGCATCTGGGGCATGCATGTCGATTGAGCAACTACCACCTCCTTTCACCCAAGATCAGTTTACCGAAGCCGGCGGTCATTACCTCCCTGCAATGTGGGTTCTAAGTGCTGGGCCATTGCACAGAACGGCATCAAAGAAATCATCGAAAAGACTGCCACTCAAGGGGACAGACTGTTCAAGGATCACCTGCCTACTCCTGTGTCTATATATATATGTATATATGTACGTACAT